GCTTTGCCATCCTTGTGAATGTGACAATTCTGTATAAATGCACACAGATTCTGTGATACTGCATGTCTGGGTAGTTCTGCATATTTATTGTATTATTTCAATGACATAGAATAAAACATTTCCTGATTGTTTGCTCTGTATAGTTTAAAAAATAAAGTAGGGTCTTTTGTAAAATGCAAGATAAAACACCAAAAGATTAATATGTACAGAGAATACCAGGTTTTTGTCTCAGTTCAGCTCTAGTCCCATGTAGTTACCTGGAGGCAGAATATAGAGGAGAATTTATTTGGAGCATTGTGATGTGGATCAACATTGGTAGCATTCCACATTTTTATTCTGACATTATTAGTCCCATGTAACTATGCACAACTAATGCTGGAACAGAGAGTTGGTTTTTTTTTTCCATTGTATATAAATTCTAGTCTTCAACCATGGCAAAACTATGTCTGTTTGCAGAACAACGCATTGAAAGAAAAATCAAATGCTGGGCTTGTCTTTTCAAGGAAATAAATGGGAAATTTAAAAAGGAAAATTACTGAAATTTATGCAATTGATAGGTGTTACTAGAGGAAGTCTTGGAAGTAAAATGGAACCTTTTAAAATGCATACTATTTCCTAGCATTTGTTTTGAATGGAGGGTGTTGAATGTTATCTTTGTTACACTTGTGATTGGCCACTTTACTGTTTAGTTCTCAAAGGCTGCCTTCTGAGCCGTAGGAAAGAAAATGTCATCAAATAAGTCATCATCTTAAGTATCTAAAAGTCCTCTTCACTGTGGAAAATCACTTTTTTTAAAAAATTGGGTGGATGACTGATACTTGTAATTAAACTTTATATTTGTCTGCTACAATAAGAGTATTCCAACAACATTATAACCCTACGTCATTATAAATGGATGATATGCAGTTCAGTATATTGATAAGTATTTACATGGCAAGAATCAGGAAACTATCTAGAACTCATGTTCTAGTACAGTGGTTCCCAAACTTGGCAACTTTAAGACTTGTGGACTTCAACTCCCAGAATTCTCCAGCCAGCAGAGCTGGCTGGA